CCAGGAGTTGGAGGTTGCTGTGAGCTGTGATGCCACAGCACTCTAACCAGGGGGACAGCTTGAGGCTCTGTCTCAAAAAAAAAAAAAGAACTTACAAAGACTTGACCTTTAAAAGAAAATGTATAGGTACATAGATAGGTTGATTACATTTTTCTGGCATCTCACCCACTTTTTTTTTTCTTTTTTAGACAGAGTCTCACTTTGTCACCCTCAGCACAGTGTCTTGGCGTCATAGCTCACCACAACCTCAAACTCCTGGCTCAAGCAATTCTCTTGCCTCAGCCTCCCAAGTAGCTGGAACTACAGGCACCTTCCACAACACAGGGCTATTTTTATTTGTTTACTTTCTCTTTTTTTTTTTTTTGCAGTTTCTGGCCGGGGCTGGGTTTTAACCCACCACCTCCAGCATATGGGGCCAGCGCCCTACCCTTTTGAGCCACAGGCACTGCCCTACTTTTTTTTTTTTTGAGACAGAGTCTCAAGCTGTCAACCTGGGTAGACATCATAGCTGGGTCGCCCTGGTGGCATCATAGCTCAGGGCAACTTCCAACTCGGACTCGAGCGATCCCCTTGGCTCAATTTTTCTATTTTTAGAAAGAAGAATTTTCTATTTTTAGTAGAAATGGGGTGTCACTTTTGCTCAGGCTGGTCTTGAACTCATGAGCTCAAACAATACACCCACCTCGGCCTCCCAAAGTGTTAGGATTACAGGTGTGAGCCACCATGCCCAGCATGCCCGGCTATTTTTAGAGATGAGGTTTTGCTCTGGCTCAGGCTGGTCTTTAGCCAGTGAGCTAAGGCGATCCACCCGCCTCAGCCTCCCACAGTGCTAGGATACAGGCATCAGCCAGGGCACCTAGCCTATCATCCACCTTTTAAAAAATTTAACAGTGATATACTCTGTGCTTGCTCAATTTTATTTCAACATTAATTTGTTTTTGTTTTTGTTTTTTTTGAGACAGAGTCTAGCTATGTTGCTCTTGGTAGAGTGCCAGGCATCATCTCACAGCAACCTCAAATCCTTGGTCTTGAGCAATTTACTTGCCTCAGCCTCCCAAGTAGCTGGGACTACAGGCGCCCACCACAATGCAGGGCTTTTTTTTGTTGCAGTTGTCATTGTCATTTACCTGGCCCGGGCCAAGTTCAAACCTGCCAGCCTGAGTATATGTAGCTGGCACTGTAACCACTGTGCTGTGGGCACCAAGCCTCACCATTAATTCTTTATCCTCTGTGGTTTGGCTCTATTCTATCCCTTCTTGTTAGGAAAACATCTCCCAGGCTCTGTTGACCTCCTAGTGATAAAATAGGGCTTTGCCATAACATCTTTGCTATCATAATAACACACAAAAAAATGTTGACATGCAAGATAACATAAGAAAAGCTTGGGCTCGGTGCCAGCCACATACACCTGAATTGGCAGGTTCAAATCCAGCCCAGGCCCACCAAACAACAATGATGGCTGCAACCAAAAAATAGCCAGGCATTGTGGTGGGTGCCTGTAGTCCCAGCTACTTGGGAGGCAGAGGCAGGAGACTCGCTTGAGCCCAGGAGTTGGAGGTTGCTGTGAGCTGTGA